CCAGAAAGACTACATCCACCGCGACACCTGCATCCATGGCCTTTGTGACCTGATCGTAGAAGGCAATCAGGTTGGTCTGACATGATCTCCCCCTAATAAATCCATGCTGATTGCCCCTGAGCATCATTTCTGATGCCGGCCCATCACAAATGTGTTCCTTGATGATCTTCTCAAAGAGTTTCCCCATTATTGTAAGGATATGCTTTACATGCACATATTTCAATAAGCAGTTATGCATCACCCTTATTATTTGCTGATTTAAGTATGCATTATTATGACATGCCTGTTCATATATGCTTTGCTGTAATAGCATGATGATTTATTCACAGTATGTATGCATATGAATTATACCATCTGTGCATATGCCTCTTTATGCACACACTTATAATATATTAATTTATGTAGTATTATTATGCTATGCTGATACATAGCATTTATAATGATATGCTAGTTTGTGCATTCGTTTTAATAATTCAATGCCCGTTTATGCATGTATCATCATAATGATATGCCAATGGGGCTTTGCCTTTATGCCAACAGCTGATGATATGCTGTTTCAGTTAAATCTTATCATCATAGATTATGTGGCTCTGTTATAACAATGACTTTTGCAGTGTTGAGCTTAATAGATTGCATGATAACGTAATTATTTATTCAGCAGCGTTATGTTGATCAGGTAGATCTTATAATATTAATGATTAAATGATAGGCCAGGGTGCAGTATGCAGATACAATTTCTGCATATTCTATTATTTTGTACTGACCGGAATGGATCTGATAAATGATGTAAATGCCATGATGTAGGTCTTTTTTTAAAAGTGTGCTGGTTTATGCAGATCACATAACATGCTGATTTAAGTAGATTTACTTATAATTGCATCTCAGTTTATGTAGGCAGCCTTTTGAGATGCTGATTTTGTTATAATTGCATATTATTGAGCAGGCTTCACAGTAAGTGTGAGCTTTGCATCGCCATAATTAGATGGTGCACAGCCTGCTATGAGGGCATGCCAGCTCATGCCGTTGTCATGATTCTAAGGCAGACACAGGTATAATGTATATAAATCTGGGGAATCAGAAGTTTGCCCCATGCAGAATTTATGCGGGACAAATTAAAATGATAAATCTCCAACCCAGAAACATCCAGCCAAATCTGGATCTACACACGGAGTTGTACCAGTTAATAGGATCATAGCACTGTAAATAAATGTCCTGAAAAGCCTCAAGCTTAAGGCTGGGTTTTTGGCTAACCTGTTACATAAACGCAACCTTTACCCTACCCAGAGGCCTTTAATTAATGTAAACTTGATTTGTATCCATGTCCTACAAAATCAATGGATTTCACTCTAGCACACACTAACTGAAGAGTGCCCATACAGTTCATTTCAGGATTAATCGTCTCAATTCATTTTTATGACCAGTTCATTTAAGCTAAACCTACATTGCAGTCTTCACAAAACCCTTTGCACTAGTTGAACCAAATCAGGTCACCCCACTTGGCTAGACGCAGGATGCCCTGTTCCTAACCCACCCAGACAGATGCCTGCCCAGCACCTTCTCGAAAACCACTTGAGGAAGGGAGATCCCACAACTTACCTCATTCTCCTTAGCAAGTTGCATCTTGGCTGTAGTCTCTGCCTGCTGTGCTGCAGTTCAAACCCATCGCTCTTTGTCTGAGGAACGCTTTTCCTTCTGCTTCTTTATGGCAGCCACCCACGTAATTGAAAGCTGCCCTCATGTCCTCACTTCATCTCCTTTTCTCCAAACAAAACATACCTAGTTCCTTCAGCCTTTCCTCATATGGCTCACATTGCAGCCCCTGTATCATCCACGTCACTCGCCTCTACCTCCTCCTTCAAACACAGCAGCCGAAACTGGGCAATATTTCAGCTGTGGCCTAACCAACACTCATCAAGAGTAATGATATCATCCACCAAGTTTTGAGTTCCTGTTACTATAGCCTGAAAAGGGCATTTACCTGAAGATGAACCAGTACAACTCGTCATACAGAAGAGCCCAAAGCTCCCTATTCATGAGACACAGCTGTGTTAGACACCATTTTGGAGAGAAGATGCACAAAAAGTAGTCAGCTGTATCCTAATTTCCCTTACACAGATGTAAATTGCCAGCTAGCTTCCTTGCACTTTTGTATCCGAGATCAGAACCAAACCCTGTTTCTATTTTGCTTGAGAGTCCTTGAGATATAAGGATAAAAATGGGTTGAACATGAGCGAATTTATCAAACTTGATCACACCAAGTGCGTGGCATCAAACAGGAACAAAGGTGTTGCCCTCACATAGGAACAATAGTCCATCTGGCTGTATCTACTCTATGAGGCTTCTGGAGAAGGTGATGGGACGCAGTACAGCCAGCCCCAAGCATTCAAAGTTGTGAGATCAGCTTGTGAGCTCTTAGAAAAATAATTCACATTTAGGGTTTTTAATTTGCTCCCTGAATTAAGTCACTTCTAAGTTCAGCTGTTCAAGCTTCTCTAGCAGGAGGGACAGAAATACCCTTTTTACAGAAATCAAGGCAGTTGATCTGCTTGTATTGTGGCACTCTGGGGTATAAGTGCTAGAGCAGGCTGCACTGAGACCCTGTCTGTTTGCCCTGTGCTGTCCTTTGAGATGAACCCCTTCACGGTGCTCTACTCCCACCCTTAAGGGTGAGATCACATCACACTTCCTTGCCTATTTTGGGATGGAGATTGCTCCCTGCATTCAGCTAGCCAATTTCTGTTTTCAAAGCCATTGTGGAGTCTGAACACTAAGCCAGCTGGCAGCCTACGTTGCAACCTTCTTCCAAATGATTTGAAAAAGGGAGAAGATCCTAGACTGCACCCCGAGCTGGGCAAGGTGCACTGAAGCCAACAGAGCTGTCTGCATACTGCAGCTACCTCCTGATGACATGCCAGCGGGTGTGGGAGAGGGCTGGCTGAAATGGGGTCTAGAGGGGAGGCAGGGGGGGACAGCAGAAAATTTGCAAAGCCACTTCTTAAATGAATTTTCTGGCCTGTTTTTGTTCAAGGGTGATCCATTCCAGGCTGAACACCCAGACCGTCTCAGCTACTAGCTGCAGGTTTTCACTTGTTTGGTTCCCCCTTCCCCACCCCAATGAAAAATAAGCAATTCAGACATTCCCCTTAATCCCTAAAAATGGTTTTGCCAGAAATTCAAGACAAATCTAAAGCCAGGATGAGACATCCGCTGCTAGCTCTATCCCTTTCAAGACCTGACTTGGAGATGGCATGGAACAGACAGACAGGGCCCTCTGCCTCCTTCTATCTTGTTCTCCCCCCTAACTGTTTTCCTGCTCTGACACCTAGGATCATTTACACTCACATTTGATCCAGTTTTTTTCTTGCTTCTCTTCTGCCTCCCCCTCCTATCATTTTTCATTTGTACCAACTCTCCCCTCTTCTCCTCATGCTTGAAGAAATGGCAGCTTTGCCAAATGAGGACAGCTCAGGGATGGATTCACTCAGCTTCTACCCCTCCCCATTCTTCAGCTCCACTGGACTGGTCCCCATTGCCCTTCCATGGTACACCCTGCTCCCTTCAGGAGGAGAAACACTGGCCTCAGGGGAGCTCCTGAGATGCCCCGCCAGCCCCCAGTCCATGCAGCTTTGCCATGGAAACAACCTCCCTCCTCACCAAGCAGCTCAACACTCATCTTTTTGTGCCCAAGCCTCACCCCTACATGAACAGACTGCATCTACCTATGGAAATGAGTGCTTTGGATGGCACACGCCAATGCAAAAATTATGGGGCACTTTTGGAAATCTTGCCTCAAGAGGTCTGTGCAGTAGGCAGGGGTGGATGTCGAAAGGCTTATTACCACAACAAATGGGGCATCTACAGTGGGCTGGCCAAGCAGGTCACTTGCCCAAGTCAAGAGTGTTGGCTCTTGTCTCTGCTCTATCCCTTGAGCTCAGCTCTTCTCCCACAAGCACTGCCCATGTCCTGACTTACAGGTGAGGCAGGGAACAAAGCATAACACGCAGGGAAGGCTTGAGAAAAGGTTTTAATGCATTTTGAAGGGTTAGAAAGAGTTTGCCAAAGGAGAAAAAGGAGCCGAGGGAAGTGCCCAGGGGTCCCAAAGGGCAAGCACCAGGTTCTTAGAAGCACTTCCTGTGGACGATGGAGGGGCCGGCCTCGTCATATTCCGGTTTGCTGATCCACATCTGCTGGAAGGTGGAGAGGGAGGCCAGGATGGAGCCGCCAATCCAGACAGAGTACTTGCGCTCAGGGGGAGCAATGATCTGTCAGAAAAAAGCACACAAGGTCTCTGGTTACAAGGTGAAAGGAGGCTGCAGGCCTCCACCGTAGATACGGAGCACAGCACAGATGGCAGGGCAAGCAGGATCAGACAGGTTGGACCATACAACATGCTAAGCACCCTCAATTCCCAATAACTGGGATATGGGCTTTTCCATCTACTTCAAATCAGGCTCAAGGATGCTCAGCACCACACAGGAATGCACCCCATGCAACAAACAAGCCTTTGTTCTTGGATACACTGGCTGGAATCAATATCCACTGGCTCCTAATCCTTATAAGCTACAGGGGAGAGTTTCAGACATGCCTGTGAGGTTTAGGAACACAAGCTGTTTGGGGCAGGGCTGTCGTTTTGTTCTGTGTTTGTACAACACCTAGCACACTGGGATCCCATGACCAGGACTCATAGATGCAGCCACAATGCAAACAATAAGCAAGTCCCTTCAAAGTCCTATATTTGCTTTGGAAGATCTACCCCGATGTCTTAACAAGAAGGTTAATGGAGTTGGAAACATTTGAACCAAACTAAGCAGCTTGCAGCCACGTACAATACACAGAGGGAAGGTATGTAAGAAAGATTTGCAGTGTCAGCCCTTCCTTTGCAACTGAAAGAGGATCCGCCATGGCAGCAGACCATGCTCAGTTGATTAAATTAACAGTAGGCGAGGTGAAATGTAAGGACCTACATGGATATTTTGATTTAATCCAGCTGGTACAAGTGGACTTCTAAAGGGTTTCTAAACTAACTGCAGGATCATGTTAGAGATGGTGGCCACAGATATCTGTGTGTGGTGGGAGAGAGAGGCCCAGCCCATTCAGTAGCAAGCCAAGGACCCAGACATACTTTAATTTTCATTGTACTGGGGGCCAAGGCTGTGATTTCCTTCTGCATCCTGTCCGCGATCCCAGGGTACATGGTGGTGCCCCCGGAAAGGACGTTGTTGGCATACAGGTCCTTGCGGATGTCGATGTCGCACTTCATGATGGAGTTGTAGGTGGTCTCATGAATTCCAGCAGACTCCATGCCTGTGGGTGTGAAAAAGGCGCATGGTCAGTGCTGTGACACTCTGACAATGGTTCACTGGCACCTCTAAAGATGGATCCAACTCCCACCCATGTCCATGGGAACTTCTCCACTGGTTGCAAGAGAAACTGGTGCTGAAACAAATCTACTTCCCCTGCACCCTGAATAATATTCATCTGCACAGATCTGAATGGTGGGGTAGACTGTTTATGGAGGCCCACATATAGATACTACGAGACCTGGTGCATTATATAAATCCAACCAGCAAACTCAATTGACATAGACTGTGAGTTCTTTGAGACTGTCTTTGCTGTGCATTTGTCCGGTGCCCAGATCCTGGAGTGCAACTCGTGCTCAAAAGAGCTACTGTAGTGCAAATGTACATCTACAGCTACATCCTGCAACACCGAGCAAAAATGTTGCAACTGAAGTCTAGTAGTTAAGCTCTGGTTTTTTTAGTGTTCAATGACATTTATCTTACATCCATGCCGGCAGCAGACTCCAGCCCTCCTCATCCTCTAATTCTCATTAACAAAAGAAAACAAGCATTGAATTGCACTGTACTGCACACGACTGAAATGTTTACCCATCAGTCCCATTTTGAAACATGAGGAGAACAAGAGGAAGGTGCGGGGAAGAAGGTAGCTACTCTTGTCTTCCCAAGTTTCCTGTCCTAGGAGTTAGAGTGGTGCAAAGGGCACCACAAGAATCAGTTCAGACATTTAGAAGGCGGCCCAAACCAAATCCCAGATGCCAACACCCTCCAACCTGGACCAACAGCTGAGAGGTCCTGTGTGGGTCTGTCCACCACATACAAGTGAAAAGGGGTGGGGAGGTTTGGGCTCTCACCAATGAAAGAGGGCTGGAAGAGGGTTTCGGGGCAACGGAAACGTTCGTTGCCAATGGTGATCACCTGCCCATCGGGCAGCTCGTAGCTCTTCTCCAGGGAGGAGGAGGAAGCAGCTGTGGCCATCTCGTTCTCAAAGTCTAGGGCCACATAGCAAAGCTTCTCCTTGATGTCACGCACAATTTCTCGTTCAGCTGTAGGAGACAGGAGCAAGCTGATGAACTTGCCACTCACATACCACCCACATGTCTTCCCATGGTGAACTTTGCCACCCACATCTCTGCCCAAGGGCCACAGATGGGGAACACCAACCAGGAGAGAAGCCTTTGAACTAGCCGGCTGTGATTTAGCCTGGACTGTCATCACAAGGCATGCCACGTGGCAAGTGGGACCGACATTAATCAAATCTTAAAAGTAGGATCTTCAGTACAAAACACCAAAGGCTTTAAACATTACAGTGCGCTCCATGAAGAGAGCAAGGGAAACAAAGGGTCTATGTCTGCTTCAGGACCCCACACTGGCAGAACATTTGTTGAGTAAGATATGCCCAGATGATCTTGGGAAATGAATCATGCTCTGTGCAATACAGGAAGGCAAAAGAACCTCTAGTGTCTCTACCAGTCTGACCAGAGATCAACCCCACCCTGTCCCCATGTGTTGGCTACGTGATCAGGAACTGCCCCAGCCCTTCCAGATGCTAAGATCTTCTCTTTACAACGTCCCAGGAGCCTGTCTCCCACAGGTTCCTGAACCCAGACCACAAGGAGCGTAAGAACTAGTGATAATACCAGTGGTGACAAAAGAATAGCCTCTCTCAGTGAGGATCTTCATGAGGTAGTCTGTCAGGTCACGACCAGCCAGGTCAAGACGCATGATGGCGTGGGGCAGAGCGTACCCTTCATAGATAGGCACGTTGTGAGTGACACCATCACCAGAATCCAGAACGATACCTGAAGACAAGGGAAAAAAGATGCAATTCATAGACAGGTCTGCTGGCAGAGTTGGTCTGACCATCTGTGTGCAAAGAGAAACATGCTCTTTTCCACATAAGATCACAACACACTGAGCTTTGTATAGGAAGAGGATGGTCTAGAGTTTAGGGCACTTGCATAGGATGAGGGAAATCTTCGTTCCAGTCCTGCTCCAACAGAGACTCCCAATATAACTGAGGCCAATTCTTTTTTCACCTCAGCTTTCTGTCTGCATGGGGATAATAGCACCACCCTTCTCCAAGGGGTGGAAGAGGGTGAGGTGCTCTGGTATTATGGTAGCACATGTGCCTCATATAGGTAGAAACAGGCATAAACTGCTTTCACTCTGTAATGCATGGTGCGCAACTGAGACCAGCAAGCGTGCCAGTCCACTAGTAGATTTAGATAGTCTTAAGAAGATACAGCTCCCCATGAATTTGAGCTGTGGGTTCCTGACTCTTGCAAAATTAAGCTGAGAGTCACTATGCCCTAAGCCATCCCCTGCATAAAAAGAAGGGAGAAGCACTCACCGGTAGTACGGCCAGAGGCATACAGAGACAACACTGCTTGGATGGCAACGTACATAGCAGGTACATTGAAGGTTTCAAACATGATCTGCCAAGAATTAGAATTCAAAAGCCCGTGTCAGCATGTTACGGCTTGTGAAATGCAAGTGCTGCATTTCTGTACAAGAAGGCTGACAAGCCAGATGTACCAGCTGCGGAAGAAACAACTGGGGAAGTTACTTGGGTTCCACACTATGCTGATGGCCCCAACATTGTAGGCCTGAATGTCAGGACTGAGTCCTATGTCCCATGAACTAGGGTTGGACTAAGCTGGGTAGCCAGGGAAGGCTGCTGCAAAGCAGAACATCTGCACATGTTGCTCACATTACATAGAGCTACATTGTCAAGGCAAATAGACCTCCTTGTTCTCATGTGACTATGGCCCCCCCCCACATCTCATAAGGTCTAAGGACATCTTTTTCTACAGAGAGACTAGCTCCTCTTGTGACTTAGCCATACCTCTCCAACAAAGGCTCAAGGTGATGTTCACCACCTACTCCACTGCGATCCATTTTTTGAACCCATGGCACCAGCACCACTGGATACTGGACAGCTAAAATGGAGCACACTGACTTTGGATCTAGTTCCTCAGAGCTCAGGGCGCTAAGGGTTTTTCTGTGGCCCCAGAAAAAGTAAGAGCATCTCCTGTCACTATTCCCACTTTGCATTTCCAGCCCCGTGATAATCTTGTTCCACCAGTAAAACTGTGGGACAGTCTCAAACACAGGGGTGGGCACAATGTGGCCTGGGGGCTGGATGCAGCCCGCCAGGCCATTCTATCTGGCCCGCGGGGCCCCTAAAAAATTTAGAAAAGTAATATTTATCTTCCCTGGGCTGCCTGTCATGCAGCCCTTGATGGCTTGCCAAAACTCAGTAAGTGGCCCTCTGCCCCAAATAACTGCCCGCCCCTGCTCTAACAGGACATAGGTGTAGGCCACCTTTTGGGACATAGAGGCTTTACCTGGGTCATCTTCTCACGGTTTGCTTTGGGGTTCAGGGGTGCCTCTGTGAGGAGGGTGGGGTGTTCCTCAGGAGCAACTCGTAGCTCGTTGTAGAAGGAGTGGTGCCAGATCTAGGTTGGATGAGAGAAAACAAGCAAGCTTAGGCTCAGTGCTGGAGGAGCAGTTTAGTGTAAACCGTTGGTGTAGGTGGGCTGAGGGACAGCCTACACTGATGCCTAAAACCAAGGTTTCAAGTAGGAGATCACAACACAAGTGCAATCAGCAGCCTTCCCATAACCACACAGCCATGATGGTAGCTGGAAATGAGACAAAGCCACAGTGAGGACAAAGCCATGAAGTAGAAACAGGCCTGAGCTGCAATTAACACTTTCGCCCCAAAATTAAGACATAGCTGGAACGCAGGGGGACAGAGTAAAATGGCACATTCACAGATTTTGAATTTGTCCATCACTTCAATGCATCTTAGATTAGAGTAAAGGGTTTGATTTAGAAGGAAAGATCAGGACAAACAGAGTCTGTGAAGCTGGGCTGAAATGCAACTTTGGGGCTACAGTGGGAGAGACGGGAACGCAATGGGCACTACATTAGCTGTTACAATACAGGAAAGATCTGGGAGTCATTGTGAACAGGTGGCTAAAAACCATCAGCTCAATGCTCAGCAGCAATCAAAAAGCAAACAACATTAGGGATGATTAAAAAGCGAATTGCAAACAAAATGGAAAGTATTGTGATTATAATGAAAGTATTGTATTATAAATCCATGGGGCATCCACACTTTGAATACAGTTCTTGTCCCCACACTGCAAAAAGAAACTAGGAAAAACTAGAGAAGGTCTAGAGAAGGATAACAACAATTATCAATGGTAGGGAGGGGCTTCCGGATGAGAGACTAAAGAGGCCAAGCCTATTCAGTTTAGAAAGAAAAAGACACTTGAGGAGGGACGTAAGGGTTTACAAAATACTAAATAGTGGAGAGAAAGTCAGTAGGGATTTATTATTGAATATCTCCCCCAATAAAAAAACTAGGGGTCACAGAACGAAACTAGTAGGTAGGAAGCTTAACATCAACACAAGGCAATTCTTTTTCACCCAGCGTGGAATTCAGGGGTGCTATTCATTGCCACCAGATGTGGTAGAAGTTGACAGTTTAGCTAGATTCAAAAAGGGAAGGACTGGACAAATTCTTGGAGGGAAGTGGCATCAGTAGCTATTGAGCATGGAAGTGAGGGGCACGGCTTCGGAATCAGAACTTCCTAGAGCTTGGAGGCTGCAAATGAGAGCCAACGGAGGACAAATCCCTGGCCAGACCAGCTCACTATCCCTTTCAGCATCTGCCGCTGTGTGACAGGAGACCAGGCAAGGCAGACCTAGCATCTGACCCAAGAAATGGCAGTTCTTATGTTCTTACGTGACTGCCTACAAAATGGGCAAGCCACAAGGGACAAGAAAGGTTGATCAGAGTGCCTGGGAGGTATAACACTAGGAGATATGGGGGGCCATTAACAGCAGAGAAGTACCGGCTGCATACCCGGAAACCCTTCTTCGGTAAGTTCAGGGAGGCTGGAAACAATCATCCAGGGAGAAGTGAAAGTTGCATTGATGGGACATTAAAAAAAGAATTGGACAAAGCCCTGAAAGTGATATTCTAGAGTTTCTGTCACTGCAGCATCTCCATAATCTGACTTTGAAGAGACCAAACCTGCATTGGCTAAGGCTGATATATATTGGGGTTTAATGAAGAGGGGGACTAGCAGGACTGAACCAAGGATCTCCCCCATACATAAAGCTAAAACCATGAGCTATTATGGGCTGTATTAAATAGTCAGGTTGCATTAGGTGGATCTATAACGGACTCATACTGTCTCAGCTGGGCATAGAAAGGCCCCTGTAACATATGCTTGCTGGTGTTTTATCCATGGATAAAAAAAAATCACTTATCCATGACCCACTTGTTCATCCCTCTCTTCCACTCCCTGAAGGAACAAGGCTATTAAAACCAAATAAGGACAAAAGATCAGACCCAACAGAGACAGGGTCATCATACCAACTGGGCCCAATGAGCAAGAAGAGCTGCCAATCCTACCTTCTCCATGTCATCCCAGTTGGTGATGATTCCGTGTTCGATGGGGTACTTGAGAGTAAGGATTCCTCTCTTGCTTTGAGCCTCGTCTCCCACATAGCTGTCTTTTTGGCCCATACCCACCATCACACCCTATAAAATACCAAGGAGATAAATCAGCCCTTCAGAGACAGGTTTTCAGTGGGGAGGGGGCAGAGAAAAAAATAATAATTAAACCACCTGTTAGCTTGGATGCCCATCAATCCACACACCTCTCACTGATTTATCCCAATGTTATCCTCATTGGCTCAGGTGATCTGGCCTAAACTCTGCTCCACTCCAGTGGGACTATATAAAAATTAAGGCACTATCATGCCATGATTTGCCTCTGCAAAGCTTATTCCTGCTTGAAATCAGAGCACCTCATTGCCAGCACAAAGGGCAGCTTAGCCTTGGATCTCACACTAGTGGAGATGCACCAAGAGGCAAAGTGCCATCAGAACTGGGCCCATTGTCAGGGCAAGTGTGAACCTATGGAGCTGCTCTGGATTTACGCTATCATGATCCAGATCAGCATCAAACCTAAGAGGTAACTTGCATGGGCCAATATAGCCTGTAACTGCAGCAGATTAACACCAGGGATATATTTAACCCTAAAAACCAGCCATCTCCAGCCACCTTCATGCCTTCTGCACCTGTAAAAAGGCACATTTAAGACCTTTCATGGGCACAGATGTCCAAGGCCACACCACTGAGCAGACTAACTATGGGACTGGCCATTGGGAATTGACTAATCCTAATCCCACCTCCAACATTATTGAACTCAATCCCACCCCCTGGAGTCTAATAGCAACACTCCCGTGAGCGCAGGCTCTTGGCCAGCTGCTTCCCGTGTAGCTCTGTGTACATCATTTTATATCTATCCCTTACCTGTAAAATGAGGTCAGTAAGAGAGAGACGCTTTCCAAGAGCTTTGTGAACTAATTAGTCAAATGCCTGTGCAGCATTTGAGGACAGTAAGCACCAAGTACTATTAGTATGCAGATAAGCTTTAAGAGGCAGAGGCAGCTGCTCCATCTCTACTGCCTTTCTGGATGAAAATGCCCTTCTAATCCCAGGACATCACTGTCTTAGGAAGGCACTTGCAGTCTTACCTCTTCTGGACTGTAAGACCCTACCTCCAAGCTGTAGCCAGGGCAGATCACCCTGCAGCAGGCTGGCAGAGCCTGGCGATGACCACGAGATGGGACAGTCGTCTCAGTTCTACCTCCTGAAATCCATGGCAGTCAGCAGAGCTGTGCCATGCCCCTAGATCCACCCTGGTTTGCAATCTCCACTTCAGCCACTGAAAACTCCCCTGCTCTAGCCCAGGGAAGTTTTAGGAGCTGTGACTCAAGCCCAATTCAGTGCAATTCCAGTTTAACCCAACCCTTGGGCCCTGGAAGTGGTAATGCCAAGTCCAGCAGGCCGCTTCAGCAAATGCTGTAAGACCACAGAAAGGCCTTTGCCAGACACTGTGATAAGCAGACACTGGTGCGTTCAGGTTCAAGAAGGGCAGTCCCCAAATCAGCCTCCGAACCCAGGCTCAGGTAAGTCAGGAATCTACTGCCTGTCTCATTGGTGAACCATGAAGCAAAGGGCTGGAGAAGCTAAGGATTGTGAGCAGTCCACAGCTCAGTCCAACCTGCCCTTGCTATTTCACCAAGACCATCTCAAGCCCAGCACATGCACTGACCACCCTGGAAGTACTCCAGGAGATGCCTCATACTCACCTGGTGCCGTGGGCGGCCCACGATGGATGGGAAGACAGCGCGTGGGGCGTCATCGCCGGCAAAGCCAGCCTTGCACAGCCCGGAGCCATTGTCACAGACCAAAGCAGTTGTCTCCTCTTCACACATGATGGTGCTGGGAGATGGTGGGAGTCAGAGCACCTGGAGGAGGCGAAGCAGAAAAATATTAGGAACCCAGGCTGCTCCAAGCACTCAGGTACCAGACTAAACCCTGCCTGTCAACCGCAGAGGGGCCAGGGCAGAGCTGCAGGGCAGGGCACAACCTAGACCCAGCACAGCACTGCACAGAAACACAACCTCCACTGCCCCAAATCCAGCAGCTCTGCTGATGACAGGAGCACTATTGTCATCTGCAGAACTGGGCCCCGTGCATGTAAAAGCCCCATGTTATCCCTAGTCACACATTGCTTCTGGTGGCCACCTCTTCAACCCCAAATCTTTACCCAGGTGGCTTTCCACTGCACCCGATGCTTCTATGCCCCTGTGCCATGCCATGCCCTTTGCTCTTCATAAGCTGGAAGAGCCAAAGGCAGCATGTTGGTTAGATCTACCTGGCAAAGTCTCAGCCTTGCACTGTACTGCTAAACCCTGGGTGTTACAGATTTCTGAAGGCCAGAAAGAGCCATTACAATCATGTATCCTGACCTCCTTTATCAGATGGGCCAGCAATTCCAGTATCATGTCCATCAAACGAGCCTGGGCTACAGCACCTCATTTGGAAAGGCATCTGCAGCAGACAGACTTTCCTTTATAATGAAGTCCCCTGCCCCATCCGACACTTCCTCACAGCTTGCTAACCAGTGCTAGCACAGTCTCCTGCTACTATAACACCTTTGAAGAACAACACTATCAGGCATCAGCATCTTTTGTGATGAGCCCAGGATGCAGACAGGACCCTCCTCTGCTAACATGGCCTTCTAGTTTGGAAGGAGGACACCTGGCCAGAGGCACAGCACCACATGCAATGGAGAAAACTCTCCAGGCTCAAAAAAAAGTGAGATCTGGGCTCTCACTTAGGCTGCTGCAAGATCAGGTTGAATAGGCTGAAGTCAGGAGAGCTGCATCACAGCATGAATCTGGATCTCTGTACACTGGCTGATTGTTTCGAGTAAGCTGGCTTCCACTTTGGCCAGTGGGGAGAGTGGAGAGAGCAGGCTAAAGTCTCCTGATGCTCCAGCCAGCACCCAGTTGGCAAACAGGTGTTGCAGGTTAGGAGTGACTTGAATGAAGATGTGTCTGGTTAGTGCCAGGCATACAGGACAGTCAGTGTCATGGCTTGTCACAAAGTGGGCAGGGTGGCGAGTAGCCCCCAGGGGAAGAAATCTATGACTGGGAAAAGCTCTGGACCTGACTCTGAGCTTGAGGAAACAGGATTAGTTTTGCTGGACCTCTGTCCATTCACATCAGCAGAGATCTGCCCTTGCAAGCCCAGTAGCAGCCCCACGGAGCAACTCAAATGAAACGTCAGCAGAGATATGCCCCCTCCCGAAGCTTTTTGAGGGCTTCATTAGCTAAGTTATACAGGCTGAATGCCATTCTCAAGCCCGTGTCATACAGACAAGATGCTCAAACAGCCCCTTATGACCGTAACACCCTGTGAATCAAAGTCAGACGAGCTCCAGCCATGGTTCCTGATGCTTTGCTGTTGAACCTACAAAAGCAAAAATCACTTTTCATCCCCATTAGCAGATGAGTATGGACTCCAGGCTCCACAAATCCAACATACAGAACTTGGTAATAATAATAATAACAATAATAATAATAATAACAACAACAACTAATAAGTAATAATAAACCGTATTCATCAGCCCCCAAGCCAGTGTCTCTAGCCAAATTGTTCCAATGTTAACATACATAAACCTTATATCAACAGCAGAGATTTCATGGATGTTAAGGCTGGAAGGGACCTCAGAAGATCATGAGGTCCAGCCCCCTGCCCAAGGGGCAGGAAGTCAGCTGGGGTCATATCACCCCAGCAAGACGGCATCCAAGTGTTTCTTAAAAATGTATCCAAAGTAGGTGCTGGCACCACTGCTGGGGGGAGTCTGTTCCAGACTCTGGAGATGATAAAGGTCTAAGCATCACAATGTATTATTATTTCCTTTGTAAGTATGGAATAACTCCAGCCACATGCAATTCCTGTGTAATACTCCAGTGCTGGAATTTTGTTTCTATATTTGCCTGAGTAAAACAAAAGCTTAAAAAAAAAAAAAAAAAAAGACTAATAGTGCTGCAATTCTTACTTAAGCCAATCTCCCAATAAAATGAAGGACAGTTTGCTCTGGGTGGGGCCAGGATAGAGGGGTGCAACACCCTGGAATAAGCCAGATATTGTACCCCAAAAAGTCACTGCGGCAGAACGAGAGAAGATAGAAGGAAATCCACGGGGCTGCTAGTGGATTGTGCCTGCCTGCTCCTGTATGAGACTTAAATCCTCCATGCCTTGCATAGAATAAGTTACCAACAAAGTAATTTGGGGGTAGGCAGCCAGGCTCAGGCCCTTGTGCCCCAGCCTTTGTTACTCCCTGGATTGACCCCAGTGGCATCCAACTCAGAATCTGGCCCCATTCACATCCTGGGGCTGTCAACTGTAGCAGCATCTGGTCTCTTGTCCTTTTTTTAACCTTGCTGCTCTCCATAAATGCCCCCGGGGCTCCAGAACAGCAGTAAAACCATTGTCAAGTCTTATCCCCCTGGTTCTCAAAGCCTCTGCTCGCTGTCATCTCCCCCACTCCGTCCCTGCCTGGACAGCCTCAGCATGAAGACCTATCCAAGCATGCCAGAAACAGCTGGTTCCTCATCTCACGTCTGTTAGTGATACTCTAGAGCCATCCCATCGGCTTTGATGGCACTTAGATCAGAACTGCACCCAGATTTCTGAAGCTCCTTTCTGTGCCTTAAACATCCTTACAAGCTACTAAATCCTTCTGGAGGCTGCAGGATCTGACTCTGGAGACCGCACAGCACAAAGGTAATTATCAGCTGTCTGAAAAACTCCTGCCCATCCCTGTCCTCCCATTTCCTCCAGCCCAATGCTCCCAGCTCAGCAAAGCATGAATCAGACTGTGAGGCAATCATGCCGGGGCCAGAGCAAACATAAACACCAGGCTACATCACGGCCTTTCCCAAAAATGGAAATAATCTTCCCAGCTCTTGGTTGCAGCAAGGCCACTCCTGTTTCCCTTTCCATCGGCAAACAAAATGCTGCTCCTACAATCAAATCCAGCCTGGAGGAGGGGAGCAGGAAAAAAAACAACTCCCAGGAGCACAGCTTGATCCCAAGCTGTATCTGTGCCAGTTTGCAGGGAGAAGAAGGTATGTTAGTAACAGCAGTTAAGTGTCTAATAAGAAACCATCGTTTCCAATGGCCCATGTCTGTCAGATGAAAAACATGCCTTTCCCCCAGCTGAGAGTTTATTCCCCCTGTTTCACCCCCACCCATGCATGCTTTCATCCACTATGCGCTCTCAGCCCCACGCCTGCTCATCACCAATTTCATTTACCCTCAGGGAAGTCAGTGCAGTGAAGGGCAGTCAGCACCTGGCAGGATTAGGCACAGTAACAATGGCTTTTAATCTGTCTGTTCAAGTCACGCATGCGGACGCATCAGACCAGCATCTGCATTGCCAAACCAGGGCAACGACAACATGAGCAAACATTAAGTGAACCCAAACCCGATAGCTCTGAGCATCGTCATGAAATCCCAGCGCTTGCCAGGCAGAGGGAAGCATCGCTCCTGCATCCCAGAGCTTAGATGGAGCACAGAGCGCATCCAGCACCCTCTTCCTGTCCTATAGCCAGCCACCTCTCCATCAGGCACACGCTGGGGGCAATTTAAATTCACAGGTGAAGCCCAAGCCTATGACTTAACAGCAACTGGATTGGAAAAAAACAAAAACCCACAACCGATCCAGCACGATTGCTGCAGGACTCCTGCGTTGCCCCTAGATGGTATTCTCCTTCCAGAACTCAGCAGTGCCGGGACAGGACAGATGGGCTGTAGTACTCACCAAACGTACAAGAGTTCCTTTCCTCTGGGACCGAGCCCTGATGTGCCTTTGGTATAAATACCAGTGAGACTGTGAAACCTCAGAGGCGGATCCCTTCTAAACGGAGACCCTAAAAAGGCTAACTGATGGTGTGTTCGCCATATGGCCATATAAGGTGTTTTATTTCATTATATTGACCTTGGGACTGGCTGCAGAACCCAGAACAGTTAATTATTGCAAGGGGGAAAAAAAATGCGTGCAGGGATAACTCAGGAGGCAACACCCCACTGGCGAGTCTACTCCTTTTATGCTCCATTTGGATAAACAAGTAAGACACAAGTCCTTATAAGCTGCATTTGAAAAGGAAGTGAAGGCACCTACGACTCCTGGGGAGAGAAAGCTACCAAGAATGGCATCAGGACCTCTGCTGCCCCGCGGGCGGGTGCTGTTCAGCGCAGTTCAGAGTGGAGATGGCACGCGAGGAAAATGGAGGGGGTTTCATTGAAAAAAAATGACCGGTATGTAGCTTCCCTCCGGCCCAGGTACGCACCGTACTTGGTGATTTAAATGAGGGGCGAGAGCCACATCCTGCCCTCTCTGGTGTAACAGAGTAATTCCAGAGGGGATGACTTCAACCCTCATCCTAGACTGAATCCTCACTGAACAAACCGAGGCCCCACCTGCCTTATTCAGCTCACAGCAGGATGGAGTCTCTACCCTGGGGTAACTCAAAACTGAATTTGGCCCCTGGGCCACACACAAGCCCAGGAAAATGCTGCTGCCTTCAGATTCGCTCCTCGGGATTGGTGTTGGTGCCACTGAGCTGGATTTGGCCCATAGCATCTTTCTTGCTAACCAGGCTGCAATCCTTCCCGTCCACCTCTGCTTCCAGCTCCTGGACCCCCCTCCCCCAGATTCATACTCATGAGGCCAGTGAAGTGGATCCAGGTTTATAGCAGCAGGATGGCGCCTGATTCTCTGCTTGGCAGCTCTTTTGGGTACACAAATTGGCCCAATCTGCCTCTGGCTGGCAGTGACCACAGCAGAAGCTGGATTACACCCAGTAAGGTCAACAGGACAGTAACCAGCTAAGCACACATCTTGCATCAGTCACTGGGGATTGGGGATCTGGTCCTACAGCTAACAGATCTTTTGCACAACAAAAATATCCTTCCTGCCACTCGAACTGGATCCTCTGAGCCCCTGAGCCATCCTAATTCCACCTCCGCAATGCAACAGGGCAATCACCTAGAGCCCCGAGCACAGTGGAGCTGTGTGTGCAGGCAAAGAGCAAGAAAATGTCACTGCACAGGGCTGGAAATGCATGTGCCAAACGGATGCTTGGGGAACAGATCGCTTCCCCAAGGGGTTTGCAAGAACGAACCCTTTGCAACTTCCCTTGAAAAAGAAACAGGTGCCGCATGTGGCTGGTTTCCTTCCTGGAGCTGGTGCATTTCTAGCAGAGACTAATTGGAGGTTAGTATATGCTGCAAAAAAGGAAACATATTTTAAGAACCTTGAGTTTGCAGAAGCAAGGACTGAAAAATATGATGTGGCCAAGGATCAATGCAGCCCCTGAATGCAAGGATCCGATCTAACTCAGTCCTTCACTGTTTGATGGTGCAGTTTTCTCCACAGGTCCCCTGTCTCACTCACGGGACAAATGGACCTACTGTGGGTCATAGCATTTTTTCCACCCGTTCTAGTCTTGCTAAACGTCCAGGCATAATGTGCTTCTTTCACTCTCCCCCACCGCAACGTTCCTTCGCCCTGCATTTGGGTCAGATGTCTTCCTCCTGTATGCTGCTCGAGCACCCGGGGGTACGTGCCATTGGCTTCTGCTCTCTGTTCTGCTGCCTGACCCCACCCAGAACTGAGCTACACGGAAAAATGTCACAGCCCAGAGGTGCAGCATACTTGGGCACGCTACAGAGATGGCATGTGCGTGATCTGCTCTCAGTTCAGAGCCAGCAGATAAAGCACGTTCAGCGAGGATGAACTCTGAGGAGGAGGTTTGAGCTGCAAAGCTAAGCTGTCACTACTGCACAACATGTGTGAATGCCTCAAAACCTGGCCAACGGGGAGGATTTTTGTAGCAACAGACATGGTCCTGAAACAAAAGCTAATTTCAAGCTCCCCAAATCCTTAGTCTGAGGTAGACGCACATCATGGAACATCCCAGCTCAAGCAGGTTAAGTCTAGTAAAGTTATATCAATTTGTAAGATGCCCAGTCTACATACTGCCACTTGCATGCCATTCCCTCTGCTTCTAGCTGACTCACTTTAGCAGCAATAGCCTAGATACAGTTATGCTGGCAAAAAGGGCCTTTCACTGACACTTGTGCAACTGGTTCAAGTGAAAGGGCTCTTTGGACAGTACAAGCCATCTCACAATCATAGAGAAGCGGGGCTGGAAGGGAGCTCCCAGGGTCATCTAGTCTGAGGCTGAATCAGCCCTATCTATACTATTCCAGACAAATCCATAATCTCAACTCTTAGTAAAATTACTGTCAACCCTGACACAACACATCACACCCAAACCTGCCATCAGTAATGCACGGGGACCACAGCAGCCCATGTCTTGCCTCTGTAAAATATGCTCAAAAGATCCCAGGTAGAGGACCATACCCTCCGCTACACAGGATGGCAAATAAATAACCCCCGTAGTCCATAGCAAATGGGGAGTTTGCCTGTACAGCTTACTTGCCATAATTAAACCAGCAAATATTTAAGTGCAGATGCAGCCTTTTCATGGGCTGTGTCAGGCAATCTTAGTAGTACTGTTATCCTGGTTGTAACCCCTCAGCTAGGGGTCCAGCTCCCTGCTGCATTTCACTTCTAAGGCATGGCCTTTCCTACTCGCTCACAGAGCCAAAGCACAGATCCAGGCCTGTGTGACAACAATAGCCTGTCCTCTGCCCTTTGCAAATGCTTTCTTGCCCCAGCACGCTGCTGGAAAGAGCCTTTTCCTAGCAGACTATTTGCATAGGATAGTTTGGATAGGCATAACCCAGCTTCAGGCAGGAGGCTGGGCTACATAACCTCTGGCAGCCCCTTCCAGCCCAATTTCTCTATGACTTCTACCAGGTTGCCACACTCCACCAGCCTCCACTCCCTGTCTGGTGCCGCCAACACAAGCTGCACTGACAAGGCCCCTCATGGTCTGTACCCACCCTAGCCAGCCACTTTTGTCCAGCACTGAGGTTGGCCCCCAGCTCCCATCAGCCAAGGTCCAACCCCCTTTGTACTCTCTTCTCTTGCTTATGGGAGGACCTCTCTGTAGCAATCTGCAGGGGCCTGGGAGGCAGCAGCAGGAGACTCACAGCTGACTGCAGTGCCAATTAGGCAGGGATGCCTGATCGGGAGCAGGGCCCAGCTGTGCCCTAAGGGTTGGGCCCTGAACTGCAAAGCCAGCAGCAGTTTGCAGCTAGCAGCCGAAGAGACGACATCGGGCTGAGCTGCTGCTCAAGGAACAACTGTGGTGGTAAGACCTGGGGTTATGGGGAAGGAGGAGACCCTATGGTCCTGGGCATGACAGAAAACTACACCCTGCCAGGGAGGGGTGGCCTGGTGTAGTTACCCATGGCAGGGTAGCTCCCCAGAAATGCCAAGCCAGTTACCTCCCTGGTGAAAGGCAAGTACAGGACGCTTTCTAACCCCAGCCCCACATCCCTGGTGAGTTAGATCAAGGCAGGGGGGAGCCCAGGCTCACTGTGAGCACCGAGGCAGGGCCCACATCAGGCAGGGGGGCACCCACACTCTGTGGTGGAGGTCTGAGGTTGCATATAGAAGCTCGAGTGAAGCTCCAGGGGGCCTCAGGTCCCAGTGCGAGCCACTGGAAGGAGAAACATTTGTGAAACACAGGCCGCGATAAGGGGAGGTAGAAGTCGTGGGTTACGCCCTTAGCATCAGGCAGGTCAATGGGCAGCCGCCCACCTGGGTAACATCATATAAACTTATAACATCAAGGTGTGGCAGGAGAGTGGTTTGCCCAAAGACAAGTGGGCAGGCCAATGTTTAGACTGGCCCCAGGATGCCCACTTGTTACACAATCCCCCAAGCAACTGTGCTGTCCTCCTTGAAATTCCCCCTCACTGTGGTGCCTACCAAAAACCTCACAGCAGTTGCAGCTGCACGTATGCTTTAGCAGCTGATCATCATGGCACTAACACTTCCCTGGCATTACTTTGCACTTGCAACCTGACATTGCTTGTGTTATAGTGAGGACATCCATCCCCTGGGGCCAGCACTCTTTTTGGTCTATGTTAGCACAGTGGATCCTTGATCTATAGTTTTTGAGATGCTATGATAACACAAATGCAGTCACAATCCCAGTTGGCAGCAACACTTGATAAGAGCAACACAAGTCCAGTCAATCCCTGTTGACAGCAACACTTGATAAGACCAATAGTTCTTGTCCAGTTTATCCTGGAACATTTTCCCCTAGAAAAGCAGGGTAGATTTGCACATTATAGACTAACCAAAATAGATCCAAGTCCACAGATCTTAGATCTGTGCATCTAAATTGAGAGAGCGAGTGAGAGTCCCAAACTTTCATGAGCTGAAGCTCACTTCATCAGATCACTTTCCCTTACCGCATGTTCAGACAATACTCATAACTTAGGAGCCACCTAGCAGCAAGTTTCCAGCAGATGCTGCTAAGAAGCCTAAGTTGTCATAATCAGAGGCAAATGTAAGTGCAAAGAGTCATTCACTGGCACTGTTAACAGATTCAGCTCATCCAGCCCACATCCCAATGACAGCACTCAGATGGGGGCTTGACAGTTGCTCTGGGCCACATGCACTGAGAAGCCATGTTAGCATCCTTCATGGTGGGAAAGATTGGCTCCCACGTTACTTGAGCTGTACAGTCTGCTCATCTTTCTTCCCATCCACAAACCGACTTTCCTAAGATAGATTTATAAGGAAGACGTGAGCCTATCCCTTTCTATTAGCAGTGTGTTACCAGACACAACGCCTCCTACCCATATGCTATACCCAATCTTCAAAACCGACCCCAAACTTAGAAGGAGTGACACGCATCTGTCTCCTTCTAACAGTGGGTTGGTCTGAGCTGGCTAATAAATCCTGCAGCCCGCTCCTGCATGCAA